TTGGACCCCACAGGAATTCATAGCGTTGGAGGATCCTACATGAATTCATAGTGTGGAGGATCACTGTTCGGCTCCTGCCAGTACTCCAGGTCCTTGACCCTCACCAAATCTTTGGTGGTGAGCTTCCTGGACTCTTCATAAATGAAGTTGTTCTCCCAACATAAACCCAAATCTTACTCAGAACTTCTCAGGTCTTCTCTTCTGTGGCACAGTCGCCCTTCATGAAGGTCATGCTCAGGAGTGTCACCAGGAGATGGGTCTTGGACAGGCCCTTATCACTCAAACTTCCACTGTTAGGAGGTCTAGTACACAACAAGCATCAAAGTGATGGTGGGGATTCACGTCCTTTAATTCAAGGCTGAAAACCAGTTCCAGCCACTCAGAGGTTCTCCTCAGGATCTCAGGGAAGTGATTCTTGCGCTTTGAGCATGACTGTTTTTGTAATGGGTCTTCATTTTATAGATGTGCAGCAGAAATTGTACCAATATGTTCACCTACCTGGTTAGAGGAGTTGTGTGTTAGCTCCCGGGGGTGGGGGCGGTGTTCTCAGTGACATGCTCTTCCTATCCTCAACTTGGTTCTTGGCACTCTCACCTGGTCTTGGGCATGAAACCGCCACAGTAGCCATACTGGTGGATGGGGCTCTCTGTGGCTCCTGGGGAGTGCCAGCAACAGGGGACCTCTGGGGAGTACCCCCAAAACAAGAGAGGAGGAGGATGGGGGACTCTTTTGCTGCTGCTGCAGTAGACCGAGCACCCTCAAGACACTAGGGGCATTTCTCATGGAGGCAAAGCTTGCTCTTCTGGCCCCAAGGCATGGCGACACTGGGCAGGGCTGGCAGGTGGCGAGGTCACCTGGAGAAGGGGGACGGTGAGGTGGGGTGAGCCCCTTCAGCGGAGAGATCCCACCTTGGCATTGACCACGGCCGCCCCTGCAGGGTCCCCCAGGGCACTGCTGTAGGACCCCCCCAGGGCTTCTCTTACGCTGGTTAGCCTGGGCCCTGAGCACCCTGTGGAGCAAGGGGGTGTGAGCCTTGGGCCCCAGCCAGACAGCCCTGCCCGGGGGTTACTGGGGTGACGGCAGGGGCCGGCAGTGGGGCCTCCTGTGTTCTAGCCGTGGGGAGTCTACTCAGTGTGCCACCTAGGGTCTGGGGCCCACCCTTCTGTCCTCTAGTGGCTTCACCTTCAGACTAAGGATTTTACCTCCCTTAGACGTGATATAAAGGAGGAATAGGGGATCCTCTGCCTGTCACCCCTGCCCTGAGTCTTGAAGTGCTGAAAGCAGGGCCAAAGCTGGACTCTTTGTTGTCTCCTTTATTCAGGGGGTGGGATGTCGCCCCCTCAGTCTTCAGTCAGGGTTCTCAAATTGAATCTTGGGAAGGCTGGTGGCTCCTCTCTACCTTTACCTGAAGACATCTCCTCATAATGAGGCCACAACCCTCTGAGACCCACTAGAAAGAGTGAGGCTAGCCATATTTGGCCACACCAGCCTGTGGTAGGCAAATCTGGACCTTGTGATGGTTCACCTCACTGGTCCTCACTCAGGTTCCTCAGTTTGACTCTGAGATGGCCTCATTCCTTCGTCTCTTGACCTATTACTGTTCTCATTTCTCTGTCATCCCGACAGGAATTGAGGGTTGCCTTTGCTCTGCCTGACAGCTATCCAAATGTCTCCCAGGACTGGCAGCAGGGGAGATATTATGCACTGCCCCCATTGTTACGGTTTTCATGTGCTGCTCCATTTTCAGGGTCCTTACCCTTCACTCTGGCACAACCTAGAAATTGTCTCTGTGCTAGCTTCAGACCAAGGGCCTCACCGCCCTGAGTCCCCAGAAGTGGAAGCCAGGTAAGTTGCATCTAGTCACAGCTGTTTGGAGATTTTGAGAGCTAATGGCAGGGGACAAAACTCTATGGGACCCTACTATTCTGAGGTTGGTGACACCTATAGTCCTCTCTGTTAAGGATCTACGATGCCGCCTTCTACTGACCTAAGTCCCCCGGGGCTGGAAGCCAGTGGGTGACACATTTGAATACTCCTTCCTAGAGCTCCTCAGTTCTGAGAGGATGGTGAGCCTTCCTCTCACTTTTTCGTTGGGTGTTTCCCTTAGTCCTCACTCAGAGTTTTCACTCTGGTCCTTTCTATGACCTGGAGGCCTGTTCTCTCCCACGAACTCCTTTAATTCCCTCTGACCACCTAGGATTGCCTTACGTGGCAAAACTTCCTGTGGTCACATGGCTGACAGTAGGAGAGGTATTCTGTGGTGTCTCCACTTTTATGATCTGGGTGGTTCCCTCCGTACTTAGGGCCCTGTGCTTGATTCTTGGCATGACCTGGAATTTCCCCCTCTGCTAACCTGACGCTTACTCTTTAGACCAAGTGCCTCACCTCCCTGAGATGGCCCTAGAAGGAAATGAGTGGGACTCATCATGCCCTCATTCCTGGGTTTACTGAGGGAAGACATCAGTGGCAGGGCTGTGTGTGGCCCCTTCTGTTCTGGTTGGGGTCCCCTTATCCTCCTTTAGAGTGATCAGCTTGACACCAGTTAGGAAGTAGGTTTCCTCCCTCTACTGAGGGAGGCTGCTCCAATTAGACAAAGGCCCTCTCCTCCGGGAGACCACTTCCTGTGGAAAGAGGGACACCTCAGCTGGAGAGCTTTGCCCTGGGCCTCCTAGGGCTGACAGCAAGGGTGGGACTCTGGGCATTCTCCTCGATTCTGGGGTGAGTGGTCCCCTTGCTCCTCATTCACGGTCCTCATCTTGACTCATGACCAGACCTGGGAATCTACCCTCCAGTCACCTAAAAAACCTATACTCGTCAGACTAAGGCCATTACTTGCCTGGAAGCTCCAAATTGGAAGTCCGATGAGTCCTATCTGTCCAGGGCTGTTGCGATCTTCTGAAAGATGGTAGTGGGGGCAGAATTTTATGACATCCCACTCTAATGCAGTTAGTAGCCCCTCAGTCCTTGCTCAGGTTTTTGACCTTGACTCTGGGTAGCATATGGGGCTGCTTCCTCTACTAAGTCAGCCAGCCTTACACCAAGGTTGTCACCTTCCGGAGACACTAGAGGGAGAAGTCAGGCTGCTATTCCCTGGCTTACCCCTGCCTGAGGCCTCTGCTGGTCCCGCTCTGTCATGGGGGTCCACTCACCAGCACTCATTGTCCTCACCTTAAATACAATTAAGGCCCCTGAGGATCTCCTACTTGGGCAGAATCAGAGCTGCTGCACAGGCCCAAGGACCTCACCTCCCTGTGAATTCACTTCCTCTGCTCCCCACCAGAGGAAATGAGGGGGTGACCGTAGCCACACAAGGCAGAAAGTAGGGTATGTGTTGTGGAGCCCCGACCGTTCTGGGATGGGGAGTTCCTCATTCCTCATTCAGGGTCCTCACCATGATACCTGTTAGGCTGGGACCCTCCCACCCCCACCCCCCCACCCCCCCCACCCCCCACTGACCTGAGGACACAACCCTTAAACCATGGCTCTTACATCCCTGAGAACCTTGAAGAATGAGTTAGGGGATGCTCAGGCTGTAGCTCTACCTGAGGCCCTCTAGGTCTGAGAGTAGCTAAGGCATGGTTCTCAGCACTCCCTATATTCTGTGCTGTTGGTGTCTAGCCCCCCATTCATACAGGGTTCTCATTTTGTCTTCTGTCTCTTTGATTAAAGGCTGCTGGCAAATCCTCATCCCTGCAAACACTTGAGCAGGTTCCTGACTGCCAACCTTGCAGACACTGGGACACCGTCCCTAGGAAGATGTGAGATGGGGAAGCTGTGGCACAAGGCAGGGGGCTGCCCAGGTGTTAAGCTGTCAGAGAAGAATCACCCTGATCTCTTCCTTCTCTGCGCCAGCTAGACAGCATCTTATGCAGTTTCACTCCTGACAGATTTGCTTCCTACACGGAAAGGGCAGAGCAGGATAATTTGGAGAGCCCCCGATCTTTTCAGGTTATCTGATACTGCCTATATAGATGATCATATTGTCGCTGAATATAATTTTTTTCTTTTCTTTCTTCACACATTTACTCAGCATTCCTATTACTGTGGCTATGTATTCCAAAACACTGCTTTGGGTCAGGGTTTTGTTTATCCCATGAGATGTATTTTGGAGTAATGAGAAGAAAAACGAAATAAAAGATACAAGGTCTGGCTCAGGCTGGGAGGAAAGGAAGAGCATGGGTCTCTAGACTGATCCGGACCAATCCAGACCAGGGATCCAGTCCCAGTGAGGTCACTTACCACTCCTGTGAACTTGAGATATTCACAAGTCGTTTATCTGTAAGCGAAGTTCGCTAAGCTCTATCCTATAGGAATGTTGGCATTTATGTACTGTGTAAAGCACTTGGCATACTCATTAAGATATATTGGGTCTGAATGAATGGCAGTTATTATTATGAACCCCCCAAAATACCACCCTCCCATTTAAGTTTATTTTTAATCCAGTAGATAGCAGAGAATATACGTGCACAGGGACAAAAACAAACGTTCTTAAGCTAAAAAAAATTAAAGTATCTTATCTTTTTACTAAGACTAAAAGGAAAAGGCAAACCATGAATTAAACACCTTTTATTTATTTTTTTAACTTTTTTTTCTCCATTTTGTGTTCCTATTTTACTGTGTGGTTCTTCCACATTTCCATGAAAATCCCTATTGCAGTGCCATGTTACCTGCTGTTGGATCACGAATACAATATAGATGGTCTGTGACTTTCTTCTTCATGTACCAAAACTGTAACTCTCCTTTGTGAAACAGCGATAAATGAGAGCCCCGTCATTCTTAAGTTTATATTCTAGAACTAAATGCGCTATTAGGAGAAAAAACGTTTGAAAACACCTAAATAAATATAACTGCGTATGCGTTTATAGAAGCTAACCGTTTCGAACAAATAGGAAGAAGATCTGTGCTTTGTTCCCTCCAACCCCTAGGACTCTGCACTACCTGGAAGGTCGACTGCCCTCTCCCACCCACCGCAAGGAAAAGCAGCCGCCCCCGCTGACTGACTAGACGCGGCGCCAGCCACGGGCCGCCGCGCGCTCCTTCTGCTCTTGCAGCGCCTCCTCGTACAGCTCGGGGAAGCAGCTGGGCACGGTGTCGTTGATCTTGGCCAGGACCTGCAGCACCTGCATCTTGCTGGTCTCCGCGCGGGCGCGCGGGCCCCACAGGAACTCGTGGCGCGGAGGGTCGCTGGCGGGCACCGCGCGGTACTCCAGGTAGCCCTGGTGCACCAGGTCTTGGGTGATGAGCTTCCGGGGCTCGCCGAAGATCAGGTGGCTCCTGCCGTCCTGGACGCCCAGCACGTTGAGGAACTCCCAGACCTCCTCCTCGGTGGCGCGGTTGCCCTTCATGAAGATCACGCCCAGGAGCGCCATCAGGAGGCCGGTCTTGGGCAGCCCCTTGTTGCCGTCGCCCGGGAGGGACAGCTTGCTGACCAGGGTGTAGGACTGGCTGCGGGAATCGACCTCCCTGAGCTCGAGCCCGAAGACCAGCTCCATGCGCTCCGAGGTGAGCCTGAAGATCTCGGGGAAGTGCTCGCGGTACTTCCTGCTGACCATCTTCAGCAGCGCGGCCCGCGTGACGGGCTCCCCGGTGCCGTGCTTCTCCAGCAGGAACTGCACCAGCACGCTGGCCTTGCGGGTGAGGGGGTCCTTGCGGGCGGCCCGGGGGGCCGGGGCGGCGGCGGCCGCCGCGTTCTGGGCGCCCTGGTCACGTGGCGGGCCTGGAGGGTCCGCGCCAGGAGACCCAGGGGCCGGGGCGCCAGGAGACCCAGGGGCCGGGGCGCCAGGAGACCCAGGGGCCCGGGCGCCAGGAGACCCAGGGGCCGGGGCGCCCTGGGGCTGCGGGGGCGGACCCGCCTCGGGGGAGCCCGGGGGCATCGCCCCCACGCCGGGCGGGGGGGAGCGGGGGGGCTCCTCTGCTGCGGCGGCGGCGGCGGCTGCTACCGCCGCCGCAGCAGGAGCACCCCCGAGACTCTGAGCCTCACCGCGGCCCTGGTGGCGTTTCTCCCGGGCACGGACCTTGCTCTTCTGGCCCCGAGGCATGGCGACGCTGCGCAAGGCTGGTAGGTGGTGAGGGCACCTGGAGAGGGGGGACGGTGGGGTGGGGTGAGCCCCTTCAGCGGAGAGATCCCACCTTGGCTTTGACCACGGCCGCCCCTGCAGGGTCCCCCAGGGCACTGCTGTAGGACCCCACAGGCCTCCCTTGACCCTGGTCAGCCTGGGCCCTGAGCACCCTGTGGAGGAAGGGGGTGTGAGCCCTGGGTCCCCAGGCACGCAGCCCTGCCCGGGGTTTACTGGGGTGACGGCAGTGTTCTTGACAGGGAAGACCGCGGTGTCCGGGTTGGGGGGGAGGACGGGGGGTCCTCGCAGTTCACATTCAAGATCGTCCTGTTAGTAATTGTTGGCAAGACCCGGGCCCCCACCCCCCTCCCCTGCTCTGAAGGAGAGACCCTGTGATCTTCCAGGGTACCCTGGAGGAGGAAAGCAGGGAGCACTTCAGCCCACCACTCGAGTCAGGGGGCACCTAGTGCCGAGCACTTATGGGAGGGCTTCCCTGCCCGCAGTTCGTGGGGTCCTCGGAATGACGCAGAATCCCCACTTGGACTCCGTGTAGGACCTGGGACCCCCCCTCCCTCTGACTGGGGCTGCACCTGCAGATCAGAGCTCTAACCGGCCTGAGACCTGAGAGGAGAAATGGTGGGAAGTCTCAGCCTGACATTCCTTTCTTGGGCTCTTAAGGGTCGACAGGAGGGGACGGGCCATATTCTCTCTGGTCCCCTCCCTTCAAGGGGGTGGTTCCCCCAGTCCTCACTCAGGGTCCTCCCCTGACTGCTGGTAGAGCCCAGAGCTGCTCCCTCTCGCCCTGCGGCTGGCCACTCCCGCTAATGGCAGCAGGGGCTGGAGACTCATTAGGAGGCGGACAGCCCTCACCCTGAGTCCCGGCAGGACCTGGAAATCCTCCCTCAGCTGACCTGCTGCCAGCCCCTTAGACCAAGGCCCCTACCTCTCCGAGTCTCTGCAGCACAAAGGGATGGAGCACCTTCGTCCTTAGACCGGCCCGGACCCTCGCAGGCCAAGGCCAGGAGCGGGGACTCTGCGTGGCCCCTGTCCTGGGGGAGGGAGTCCCCCCAGTCCTCACGAAGGACCTCTCCTTCCCGCCAGTCGGCCTGGGATCTCTGCCTGTGCTGAGCCGAGCCAGAGTCCAGCCGCCCCGGGCCAAGGCCTGCAATCCCCGAGACCCCGCGGGGTAAGCCAAGGGACTTGGGGCTTAACAGCCATATTGGGGCCTCCGAGCCCCGAGTGCAGGGGCGGAGCGGGACAGGGTCTGTTGGACCCCTCTTTCCAGGGGAGATGGGGCGGGGGGGCTGTCGGGGACGTGCCCCCACGGTTGTAACCCGGGACTCCTGGGACGTCGACCCCTAACAGCCCGTGGGACCCCTGTCCGCGCTCACCCTAGGCAGGAGCTGTCCGACAAGGCCTCGCCGGCCACGGCGTGGTTAGGAGGAAGTTCTCGAGGGCCACGAGGGCCACTTCCGGTCATGTGGGTCTGGGCCCCCAGGAGGACCGTGGAGGGTGGGGGCGGGCTCTGTGGGCGGGGCGGGGAGTGGGGGGATAGTGTGTGGTGTGCTGGGTTGTAGGGTGAGTCCCGCAGGGTTAGCAAGGGTGTTGTCACTGACTCTTAGCAGGTGGTGTGAATTCTCCCTCTGCCGTGCTGAGTGTGCTGGCCGCAGACCAAGGGTCTCATTTCGTTCCAGCCTCCAGTAGGAAGTATTTGGGGGTGTGAGCTTAGCTGCCATCGCTGGGGCTTCCCCAATCTGACAGTCACCCGGTGGTAGCTTTTGGGGGGACCTGTGCACTTTGGCGGGGACTCAACTCCCTCAATCATCTCTTAGGGTCTTTCTTTGATCCCGTGTGGGTGCTGGGCAACGTCACTCTGCTGATTTGAGGTCAACGCCTCAGATAAATGCCATCAGCTCCTTGTGACTCCCGATGTGACCTGAAGGTATACTTTTTTGGGCTACTGCTGCCTAAGGTCTTCCAGAGATGGCTGCAGGAAAATGAGAATCCTCTGGGGTCCGGTGTTCTGGGGTAGGGATCTTGCACTGAGTTCTTTACAGTCCTAGAGTTCCTCCCTTTTGTAAATGCAGCCTCTCCAACCCCCCCCCCCCCCCGCCCCACCATGGTCCTCAAGAACCCTATGGAGAAACGGGGTACTTCTTATTCTAATTGCTTACCCTATAGCCTCTCCTGGCTGACATCACTGTCATTTCTGAAAGTTTCTGGGATAAGTTTTCTGTCCTATGCATAACTACTATGATACTTGCTATTCTATTTCAATATTTATGTTTTTGACATATAAATGGTGGTTACCAGAGGCTGGGGGGTGACAGAAGAGGGGGGAGATACTGATGAAAGGGTACAGTCTTTCAGGTATGAGTAAGTTCTGGAAACCTGTACAGCACATTGACTATAGTTAATAATAATATATTATTTACCTGAAATTTGCTAAGACACTAGATCTCATGTGTTCTTTCTATTCTGTTTTCATTCATGCCTTACAATCTATTAAGATTACTATAAAAAATAACAGCCCAGTCCTCACCAACGAAAAAAATTTCAGCTAGTTATTAGGACCATTATCTGGACTCATTGACTCAGACCCACCTCAAGCAACCCAGACTTTGGTCCCGCCCTGATATTACCCTGTAGTCCTGGCACATGGGCCCTGAGGAGCTGCCTTCAGTGAAGTAGCAGAAATAGACTACTCCACGGCATGCTGGAAAAATCAAGGCTAAACCTAAAACCTTTCCAACCACCAATGCTGTCTTCTACAGACCTGTCTCAACTTCAGGGCCTGCCCGCACACAAGTCCTAGTTCAGTGCACACTTAGTGCCCCTCAGGTGTTTCGCAGTATCGTTGTTGTTGATACTGTTTTAGCTTTAGTTTTTCCGAGCGTTGATTCTGGGCACAGGAAACAGCAGCCTGCGATCAGTGTTCATCTTGGAAGCTACAAGTAAGGCTCTGAAACTTTTAATAATTTAACAGTTTATATCTTTACAATATTCTCTTCCCCTGAATAAACATATTTTACAGCTCCATCTGGGACATTTTCTTTCTCTGTCAGTAAATTTTTTTAGTTGCCTCAATAAAGATCTGCAGTTGTGTGAGGTTTCATTTTAGGTACATTTTAGATACTGTTGCTGTTGTAAATGGTACATCGTCCATACGTGTTCTAATTCGGTATTGATTTTGTGTGACCAGGCATCTGATTTTACTACGGGGACTTTCTATATACTAGCAATTTGACGTTCCTTATATATTTGAATGTTGTGTTTGCTTATTACTTTAGATATTTTAGTTATGAGATTAGTCCTGTTACTATGTTTCTCTGTATTATCCATACCTCTTCTCTTCTTATTCTTGTATGAGCAGGGCTGTGCCCTGCTGTACATTCACATCCAAGTTTGTGGGACCATAATTCTGTGTTTTCCCAAACTTTATTGGGAATGCTTCTAATATTTCACATTTATGTGTATTTGCTGATGAGTTTACGATATGGAAATTCCATTCTTAGAAGTTTACTGAAAGTTATTACCATGAAATGGTGTGGAATGTCTATCAAAAGCTTTTTCTTTACCCCTACATGTTGTCAGATGCTTTTCCTCCCCTTAGTGTAGTGAATTCTGATTCATATTTTCTAACATGATACCATCTTTGCATTCCTCTGATGCAACTTATGTCTTTATTGGCCCCTGTATTGTATATGCTGTGAAGTTGTTTATGTTATTTGTCTGAGTAGGAGTGAGCCCAGGTGAAGTGCTCTTTTTTTCAGGGTATCTTTATTTGGTCTTTGTATCAAGGAGAGCTAAGGCATCAGAGTGGGTGAGTCATTTCCCTTCTTTTTGTATGGTTCGAAAGAGTTTATGTAGAAGTTTTATTCGTTTCTCCTTCACCATTTGGTGTAAGGAGACCAAATTTGGCTGGTTTGGGAACATTTTGAGGGCACCTTGTGTTTTACCTACAATTTTAGTTTTTATGGTTAAAATAAGTTTTCTATTTCTGTATGAACCTATTTAATCATTTCTATTTTGCTGAAAAATAGTCCATTTCTCTTGGATTTTTAAATTTAAAGGCATGCTATTTAAAATAAAATCACATTATCTTTGAAATTCTCGAACATGTACAACACTGTACAGAGAACAGAATATTGAACCCCGTGTCCCTGGCACTCAGCATCAACAATACTCAGCAGTAACAGGAAGAAGCTTAATCGGATCACACTTTGTTTGTTTATTGGTAACACTACTCCAGAGGGGCCACTGTGCACTTACATTAGCAGATACATAATGTTTGGGATCCCCTTTGTGGTGATGTTAGCAATCACTAAGGATCATCACCCTCATCCATTAATCCATTAGGGGCTGCCGAATGGTAATTCTTTCATTCCTTTGTTTCTATTAGCTAAAATAATTCTCTAGGTAGACCCTTTTCTTTATCTACCATTTGTTACCGACAGAATGGTGAAAGTATTTATAGTGTTAATTACAGCCTGTAAATCTCTTCTACATGTACACTTTGTAGAATTTTATTTAATATCACTTGTTTCTGCTTCTTTCTTTTGTAACTGGTAAGACCTACAGAAGGTGTTACAGAAATATTTGTAAAGAACTGACTTTCATTAGTTGGCTCTGCTGTCATCTAATTCATCATTTCTGCATTTGTCTTCATTATTTCTACCTTCTAATTATCTGGGTGTAATATGCTGCTGTTTCGGTAACTCTTGAATCATTGGGATGCTTTAAATATTTTTCTGATAAATCTGTTTAGTGCTATCATATCCGAGTAGCACTTGGACTATTTCCCACAGGTAATACTGTAGACCTTTCTGTGTAGTGCTTGAAAATTTTTTAAAGTCGAATAAGTCTCTCCATTATACTCCTGGAATTTTGTAGTGTGTGTGTGTATATACACACATATGTGATAGATCTAAGTTTTTCCTAGGAATGAAAGGAGGATTGCACAGGAAAAAATCAATCATAGT